TTGCTCACAAAGCCCATGACACACCTGGGAAGGCAGCAGTGGGTCGTATTATCTGATCAAGGGCGGTCACTTAGTGCATTCGCATTCTCCGTGAATGAATCCACAAAGAGCAGACCTAAATTTGCTTTGGGAATCACCCAAAGTTAACTGTGTCTGTAACAGTCGTCTTATACAGAGTAAAGTGAACACCAATATTCTGTGAGGAACGGAAGACACGGCAGCGATTTCCCCTGCACAACATTCAACATGTTTAAAAAGAGAAGAAAAAGAAAGCCAACAGCATAAAAATAAACACCTAGGGAACCCGTCCGCAAAATATAAGCTGTAACTCACCCATCGATCCAAAGGGGAAGAATGTGCTTCTTAATGAGATCTAATATTGCTTCAAGCCACGTCCAGAAGGTGAAGGATTTGCCAGGTAAGTGCTCCTGTTAGCAGAGACAGACACAGCGCAGCATTACTCCCCAGGTGATGCTGATGGAATAATTCAAGCCCTCTTTTTTCAGGGGAAGAATTTCTTGAAGTGAGACAACACTTTATAGAGTTTCTTCTTAAAACAACCTTATCCAGAAAATCCTCAAAATACAGATTATGATACAGAGTCTTACAGAGGAGCTGTTACCTCTCACCCATCAGATCTACAATATAAAAACGATTAAGCCAGTGCTGGCGAGGACACAGGGAACCACGGGCTCTCATTTCTGCTCAGGGCTGTAGTTCAGACAAGTTTCCCATGAGGCTATTTGGCAACGTGCATCGAAAGATTTAAGTATTCCTTTAACTCTTTGCTCAACAGTCTGAAGGAAATATTTAGACGAGTATATAAAAAGGTATATACAAGATCCTAATGGCAACATTAAAAAAATAGCCCAGCTCTAACTGGTTGTGCTCAGTGGATAGAGCACTGGACTGTGGACTGGAGGGTCCCAGGTTCGATTCCGGTCAAGGGCATGTACCTTGGTGTGGGCACATCCCCAGTAGGGGGTGTGCAGGAGGCAGCTGATGGATGTTTCTCTCTCATCGATGTTTTTAACTCTCTATCCCTCTCTCTATCCCGTCCTCTCTGTAAAAAAATCATAAAATATTAAAAAAATAGCCCAAATTGCAAACATCAACATCCAACCAGTTGTTTACAATGTATTTCCACAACCTTAAAACATTCTTATCTTTCCAAATTAAATGCATGCCGCAGGTGAGATGAACAGACTATCTACAGTTGCCAGCTAGAGGAAAAGGAGCACTATTACAAAAGACTATAAATGCCGTCCCCCCTTCCCCTGCGGGTACCTTGCAGAACTTGGACCAGGTGAGATGACCATCACTGTAGCTGGACTGGACTACAATGAAAGAAAAGAATGACATTTTTATTAAACAAGGAGACTCTTCAATTTGGTGCTCAATTTAGATTTCCCTCCTTCTCTCAAGCATTTCTCAAGCACCTGCTCTGCGTTTATAGTGTATTCAGTGCTGGAAACAGTAAACATCTGTCATGCAGTTTATTATAACGGGGCAAATTCTTTTCCATGGAGGAGCTACAGATAGCTTTAGGAAGGGGGTAGGTGCCTAGGACCACACCTCCATGAATGGACAGGAAATACATCGTCCGAGGAGAAGGAAGGGCCCCTCCAGTAGCAAGAATAATGTAGGGTGAAGCATAGTGGACATGAGTATGGTTTATATAAAAGACAGTCAGCCCTGGCCAGTTTGGCTCAGTGGATAGAGCGTTGGCCTGTGGACTGAAAGGTCCCAGGTTCCATTCCAGTCAAGGGCACATACCCGGGTTTTGGGCTCGGTCTCCAGTGGGGAGCGTGCAGGAGGCAGCTGATCCATGATTCTCTCTCATCATTGATGTTTCTATCTCCTTCTCCCTCTCTCTCTGAAATCAATAAAAATATATTAAAAACAGAAGACAGAACAGCCTAGTGTTGGTGAATAAACATAAAACCAATTTGCATCAGTAGACGAAGCCAGATTGCCAGGAGTGCTGACTCTTCCCCTGAAAAGAATGGACAAGCCATCTATTAGGCAATAAGGAGCCATGGGCAGTGAAAGGATCCAGGAGTTTCTATTTAAATTTCCCTTCCTTCCTTCCTTCCTTCCTTCCTTCTCTCTCTTTTTATAGAATGATGTTTTTGTTTTATTTTAAAATATATTTTTATTGATTTCAGAGAGGAAGGGAGAGGGAGAGAAAGAAACATCAATGATGAGAGAGATCATTGATTGCTGCCTCCTGCACGCCCCCTTCTGGGGATCAAGCCACCATGTGGGCATGTGCCCTGACCCGGAATCCAATCGTAAACTTCCTGGTTCATAGATTGATGCTAAAACTATTGAACCACACCGTCCAGGCTCTATCTAAATTTCTAAGAAAATTATACTCAGAAGAATACTTTGATAAAGATCTGAAAGTATATGGTGGCTATCTATGCTACATATTTAAAAGATTTATTCACTCACTAACAAATATAAGTTGAATTCCTACTACTGTGGTTTATGAATTAAATAAGTATCCAAAAGGATACTTACATTAGTAAATGTTATAACATTCTTAAAGCCCTGATCTGTTTAAAAGCCTATGGATCATATACAGTCACAGTACCAGCGGCACCTGTACATCCAACTTAACCAAATCACACAGGTTTCAATGCTGCTCAAATGCGTCCTTGCCCCGCTTTAACTACAAATCTATGCAAACCCAACTTTAACTATTTTTTTGGTGCTAAATGTGTTCGCCCTAAACTTGTCAAAATATAGGGTATCTTTTAAAATTCTTTTAGAAAAAGCTTCACTATAGTCACTACACTGAGTTCCAACGTCTCTATTCTGCAAACGTTAGAAATGTCAGACCGAAATGTTCTTCTGGAAAGGATTAAGTGTTACCTGGTGGGTTTTAATTTCCATTAGATCTTATGGCCCGGGAATCAGCGCTTTTCCCGTTGGTTAAGGGTCACCGTGATATGAATATGAGAGATCAGGCGCCATCAGGACTGCCCGTCATATTCAGCGGAAATGGCGTAAGAACACCCCGGAGACTGGAGTGTGGGGCGGGAAGGAAGGGGCTTTAGGCCCGGACAGGCCTCGCCCGTGTCTTCACGCTACGACACAGCAGCCACGCAGCGGTGGCAAGTTACTGACCTACCCTCATCTATAAGATCAGTATTCTGCCTTCAAGAACGTTTGAAAGATAGTATAGCAGTCAGCCCTGTGCCTGGCGCTGAAGAAATCGTGGTGATCACTGTTATGACCACTAGAAGCAACGTCACCCCCGGCGCTTTACAGCACGGAGTGCCACGCACAGGGCCCAGGCCTCGGCACCTGGCACTCACCTGTCAGCTTCTCGGCCAGCATGTTGAGCTGATCGGAGTTCAGGCCACGCCCCACGTATGAGGAGAACTGCCAGCTCATCACCTCCAGGAGCTGGCTCAGCGTGGCCGGGGGAGGGTTGTTAAAGAAAACCAAGTTCTGAAATAGAGTCGGAACAGGGGTTACATGTCACATCGAACACCCTGCAACCCAACAGATTCCTGATGTCAACTCTTTAGGCCAACCTGAGGGAGCAGTGCGGATACAGAGGGGAAACCGAGTTAGTTTGTAGGGAGACGCTGTAGGCTGTGCAGCTGACTCAGGAGCTCTGTGGGATGCATCCCCAGAGTCCCCCTCCAGGAGCAGGGGGGATCTGGGATGGCTGGTGCTAAGGGGGAGGGTGGCTTTCTTAAAGCAGAAGGATTGCGGGGTTGGGGGGGGCGGAGGGGGTGTGCAGCCCCAGGGCACTCGTAGGCTGGAGAACAAGTTGGGTGAAGAGCTTTGAACGCCTGTAGCTCCTAGGGAATGATGTTTCATTTCAGGGGTGTTGGCTGTTCTTGGCTTTAAAGACGGGGTGACTTCTCTAGTGAGTTCTGTCTCCTCACTGCAGGCAGAGAGGACCCTGCCAGCACAAGGCCCTCCTGGCCAGTTAGTCTGTCTCAGATGCCAGGGCCCGGAAGCTGGGAAGGAATAATAGTGCTGAGTCATTGTCCACGCTGTTTCCTTATCAGGAAAGACACTAGAGCTGACTCAGCCTGCCTGTTCTCATGGCTGGACCAGGTAGAAGAATTCTTCCCTTTGGAAGGAACATTGGCTTTGAGTTAAGAAGTGTTGTTATTTGCATCTGACCTCTTTTCTCTAGAGTCTCTAGACCCTGGTGGTTTCCAGGACGACGCACTGAGGTTTTGTAAGAGGGTCTGGGAAGTGCTTACTCATCTTTTTGCCACGCCCTCCCCTGCTTGTTGGTTAAGAAAAGCATCTGTTGTCTGCTGGAGGCCAAGTCAATGTCTCAAGTAACCACAAGACAGCACTGAAACCCACCTGGAGCCTAGAATGGATTAAATCTGTAATGAACGTCAAAGGGTTAAATAATTACACAATCGACTCAAAAATCGGCACCATCAGAGTGTGGTTAGGCAACACCGATGTCCACTCTAGTTACTTGTTTGGAAACCAGTTCTCTGCCTCCGTGGAAGGGTCTGTGTGAGGTGTGGGCAGAGTAGTGAACAGGCAAGCACAGCAGCCATCACATTCTGGAGCACGCGTCTCCCGTAGCCCAGTCAGCAGTCGGCAGGGTGACCCCAGAGCTCCCGCTGATGCACGTACTGGGGAGCTGACCAGACCCTCCGCCTGCCACCTTTGTTAGCCTGAACTCTCTCAGGGTCCACGCACATTTGAACATAATACTTTGAATCTGACATGAAAGAGGAACCATACAACTCGGTAGACTGGAGTTCTGAAACGCAGCAACCCACAGGACACGCCGAAATTTTATTTACACACAGATTTTTTTTTTTGATGTGGATGGGTTTCGTCGACAAAGCAAATCCAATGGAATTAAAGGAGGAGAAATCAGAATAGAGACTCTACCTGGGAATCATTGGTTGACACATTGTACCAGATGATGGATGCCCACGCATTAGGTAACTGGCTGACATTGGAAATCATCACCACGGGTAAGGAGCTGGTCTGGTTTAAAAAAAAAAAAGCATAGTTATGACAGGTAGGTGCACCTTGACATGATTTTAGACTTGGTCCTCTCCCCTCAGGAGCCTTCTCCAGCCAACCCCACTGCTCCCAGCCTGGTGTCTGCACTGCCCGGTCACCTCGGTGATTTGTGAAGGCTCATGTATGCTTGCCGAGCACGTATGAAAGGTACAGGGAGGAAAGGAGCTGTAGACACTGGAATCCTTTCTAAAGTGCTCGGCCAGCCAGCCTCTTTAACATCTTCCCTGAGACCATGGGAGTATCTATACTTTCTTACATCAGGTACTGCCTAACACGCAACCAATTCGAGCTTGTAACCATCTAGCCAGCCGTGGACAAACTACGGCCTGCGGGCCGGATCCCGCCCGTTTGAAATGAATAAAACTATTGAAAAAAAGACCGTACCCTTTTATATAATGATGTTTACTTTGAACTTATATTACTTCACACAAACACTCCATCCATGCTTTTGTTCCGGCCCTCCGGTCCAGTTTAAGAACCCATTGTGGCCCTCGAGTCAAAAAGTTTGCCCACCCCTGATTCTAGCCACTGTTCTCTCCATAAGTTACACGAAAGAATTGAATTTTAAATTTATCGCTGAGATGGATCAATATGTCCAAATTATGATCTGACACCTCATGAACGTCAGTACTAGACATGGGAGTTTTAACTGGAGAAGACGGTGAAGTCAGCTCTACTGGAACACAAAGCATTATGGGAGATGGCGCCGCGTGGCCTGTTGGTGCAGAACTTAACTCGGTACTTTTGGTGCTGCAGCTTCCCATCTCATGGAAGAAATAGCCTTTCACAGACTGGCCTGGGAGGCTGAGCAACTTTCATCAGTCCCTCCCCAGTAACAGAGGCTAGAAGGCCGTGGACCGCGAAATAACCATGGAGGAACTGCATAGCTCATGGAAACAAGTTTTGGGAAAAGAGATGAGTGAGGAATCCATGATCAATTTTATGAACACGTTTCCAGTCAGACAAAACAGCAAAGGCAGAGCTCTAACATAATACATCCCACAAACAGGGTCGTTGTCTGGGTGTGTGGCAGGCACTGCGCTTATTCGTTCATTTACTCGCAAACGCTGAGCAAGTGCTGTGTGGTGGCACTGCGCTGGGCACTGGGCACTGGGCACGGGGGACCAACGAGGCACGATGCCCGCCTTCAGGGCGCTCACGGTGACCATGTTCACGGTCCCCAGGGTTCTTCATTCCTTCTTTGACTTTGATGGTGAATGTTAAAACAAGGTGCTCTTGGTGTCCCTATTACTTATCTTTACGTTAGAAAAGTCTTTCTGAGGGATTCGTATGTGGGAGTTAAATTTTTGAAAATATATCATGACGTGACATCATGGCTCAAGGACACTGGTTTCTCTTCAGGCGCACCCCTGAGTATCCCCGACTTAGGAAATCCCAGGAAACAAAACACACACACAATCTTCCCAACCAATCATTCGCTAGGCCTGTGTATGGAATTCCTAATGCCCGTGAGATTTTTTTCATTCAGATTCAACCAGTATAATCTATGTTGACTAATTTGTAAGCATTTGACGTATTGATTTTCTAAATTAAAACAAAAATAAGGAATAGGGATGTACTGAGACCTAGAAAAGACTGAGGTTTTTATCTACAAATGCTGACCGGGTCCTGAAGACGTTAGTAGTAAATAGTAGATGTTTCTGGAAACCCCTACCTCCAGATCGATCGTCAGGCCATAGAGGCAGATCTGTGCTTCAAAGGTGATGGAGTGAAGCTCCTCCGTCACCATGTGGCAGCCCTAAGGGAGAGAGAAACACGCCTTCACTCTCACAGACAAACGCAGACTTGCTCTCTGTGACAGGCCTGCTTCTACTGGTAAAAACCAACACATTCTCAGAGTGTAAGCCCCCAACATTCCCCAGGATGCAACAGCTCCCCTGTTCTTTCACAAGTTATTTAGAGTATGTGGTACAGAGTTTGGGGCATCTTCATTTCCACAGACAGGACAACGGTAAGTCTCCAAAACAATACACTTTCCAGCTTTTAAAATTCTAGCATGGTTTCATCAGCTGAAATTCAGATAAATAGCTCTTTCCTTTTTAACTTTCGGAGATTAGTCCTTTGACTTACCGACAAAGAACAAAAGCAAGCCGTGTGTGTGTGTGTGTGTGTGTGTGTGTGTGTGTGTGTAGCTACAACAGAAGCAGCTCGGTGTCATAATGCATTTGTTTAAAAAGAAAGCAGGATTTCCTTCTGGTGACTGTTCCAGCTGGAAATGTCAATAGCATAACAGCTGGGGTTTTGTTTACTTTCTAATAGAGTAAAACCCTAATCTAGATCTCCCAGTGAGAGTGGGGGGTGAGGGTGGCAACAGGCTCCCTGCGCCCCGGAACCTGGGGCCCCGAGGCTTGAGGGTGAAGAGGGCTGACGAGCAGGGGCCCCAGTCCATGCAGTGAGGCCCATGCCTCCCCAGCCCCGGGCAGGGCAGGAGGTCAACTCTCTGGAGCCCATGAATCACAGGAACTGAAAGGGCTCTCTACAAGGTCAAGCTGAAGGCAGAGGTGAGGTGCTGAAAGGGGAAGATGCGGTGAAAGCGTACAGGAAAGCCAGGTGGGCGTGGCTCAGTGGTTGGGCGTCCACCTATGAACCAGGTCACAGTTCAATTTCCGGTTGGGGCACATGCCCAGGTGTGGGCTCCATCCCCAGGGTGGGATGTGCAGGAGGCAGCTGATCCATGATTCTCTGTCATCATTGATGTTTCTATCTCTCTCTCCCTTCCTCTCTGAAAAGGTCTTTGGTTGATATCTTCCCACCCGCCCTCCCTGGTCCCTGATGAACCTTTAAGCACTTTGCCACGTGCCAGGACCTGCAGCTTTGTCATCATCGAGAGCTCGTTGGCCTGACCCCAGGCTACTAGCCAGAATCTCAACAAGACCCCCAGGTGGACTTTGCGAGAAGACCATTCTCAGTGTGGTGTGTCTATGTTCGCCTCAAAAGGGATCTGAGAAATTGGGAGATGGTGTCGGAAGCTTAACCAATTTTAAAAAATCACCCCGTGGGAAAATGAAAACAGAAGTGGAGTTACTCGACTAGAA